GTCGAGAGGCCAAAACAGCATAACTTTTTTTATTTATTTATTTACTTAATTTGCTTTTTACATTGTTTACATTGTTCGGACTGCTGTCCTCATCTTATTGTCACATTGACGAATTTTCGGCCGTTGTACGCTTCGGCCTTTCACGTTGAAATTTCCGAACCCTTTATTTCGTCCCCTGGGGTAGATTGATCTAGTTCCACGTGCCATGCCTTTCTGGCGATCTCAGTTTCAGTTATTTCCCTTTAGTAACACAACACTCCAAGTTCTTGTTCACTTGTTCTGTGGCCAGGTATTGAACTCACAACTCTTTGGGTCAAGCCACTAGATTACTTCAGCCAATTGGGTCAGCTGTCCTTACGAACACATGACCATGACACAGTGCGAACAATGTAAATAGTGTAAATAGACACAACACCACATACAGGAAATATAGATAGGTAATTTGATTTTATTCAGATAAAATATAGGGTGACCCCAAAAAATGGGAATTTTTGAAGTGCGTATTGCCAGACATGAGCAAGTGGCAACACTGCGAGACAGTGACCTTGAGCAAGTAAACATTTCGCCATTTAGAATTCAAGATGAAATTCACAGTATCCTAGCTGGGATGTTGCAGCAGTCAATGAGGAATATCAACAGCAGATTTCAAGAATGCATTCGTGCAGGAGGACACCATCTACAGGACATAATTTTTAAAAAATAAAATTCCATTATCGGTTCTTAAATGGCATGTTTTAAGATTTCAATTACTATGAATAAAATATTCTTCTTCCATGACTCTTGGTTTCATTGGATTGTTAAAAAGTTCCAGTTTTTTGGGTCACCCTGTACTTGAATAAACAAATAAAAATATCCTTAAAAATTGATTAGAAAACGCTACCCTCCAGGTATTAAGGGATTTGTCGTCTCGAGAGCTGTAAGTCTAATGGTGATATGTCTTAGTCATAAGTGTAATTGTGATGTGTCATGACTATAATAATGGTATGTCTTGGTCATATCTGTAATGGTGAAACTAAAATTACACGAGTTAAACACAAGATAACCCCACCTAAAGCTAACACGGCCAACCCCAATGTGTTTAAGCAATAATATATCTGGGAGTGTTTTATCAAAGTTTTTCATCAAGGTGGTGACAATAGTACGACTGCAAATTAAGTAAATAATATATTTTAATAATGGCGTAAAACACAGAAATATTTCAAATATAATGTTAAAGCAAGAAAAAAATAAAAACAGGCATTTAAAATGAAAGAAATTTTTGGGTTTAACTGGTTGTCGTTCCTCAGAACTCGATCGAGAAATAAAGTAGTAAATGTACTTACCTACTAAAAATATATAGGAAAAACTGATACATCGTTATTAGTAATATACTAAACACAGAATATCTACAAGCAGATCATATTAAGTCCTACCAGCCACTCCTTCTGTTTACAGCATGTTCTAGCGTTCATTAGAAGAGGTCAGCTTCAAAATAATTTGCATAAGTCTATTGTGCTATCCGTGTCTACAATTGCAGAGCACCTGATTAAACACCGAGGCGTATCGTGAGAACATGTTCTACGTGTTATGGTGATTTTCTAAGCACAACTAAGATGTGGCACAAAGCTGAAAGTATGAAGGAACCCAGTGAGGATCGAACTCACTATTCAGTTTTAATTGATCGAGCGAGACAAGCTTACTAACCATTACACCCCGTCGAAGTAATGTAATGTCGTGTTATGCAGATCACCGTCTCAGTTCCACCTGAAAGTCCTTGAGACAATTTTCATGAAGTACAAGCAACCTTCTGTGGATAAATAGAAGGAAGAACTGCCAGGACTAACTGTGCATTCGTTTTCTCCTTTATCTTTTTAGTCAGTACGTACGATCGATTTTTGACGGGCTGAGGACCGAAAACCGGTAAACACCCAATATTTTTTCTTTCGCATTAAATATCAGTATTATTTTTTCCTTTCTAGTTTCAACTGAATATTTTAAAGATGGCTGTGTTTTACGTCATTATTAAATTTTGTACCGCAAGCAAAGTTTTCAAATGTATTTCAATGACCGTCATTTGAATTTGGCACCAATCAAGACAGAATCGTCTTCAGTACGTACACGGTGCATATTCATTGTCAGGCAATATTTAACGGCGGAAACTACATAATCCGAATTATTTTTTTCAGCTAACTCCATCGGATAAATAAACTTAAAAGATCCGACGCCCAACCGAAACATAGCGCCAAAGGGAAATCTTGAATCATGAAATAAAAATTGGTCTCCAGCCATTTTCTGGAACTGAGCTTTTGTCATTTAAGTAGAAACGCACTTTTTCGGTCAATTCTTGTTTCAATATTGACTTCATTGTTCTTTATTTATCTATTCCATTCTTTCCCAAGATCTCTTCGCATCGTCCATTTTTTGTTTTTACGGTTTCTTTTCTTTTATTTTGCTTTTACTTTTCCAGCATCGTTTATTATTTTCTATTTGGCGGATCAAGTCCTCCATTAAAGTCGGTTTGCCGAAATTATTCATGAAGCCATTTCGAAATACTGACAATTCTTGAATTCTTACTTAATGCCCGTATGAAATTTTCATTCAATTTCCGAGAATAGAAATTTACCGAATCGTCAATATACAGGGGTACATCAATAAGTTTGCAGCGTAAAACTTGTTTTGATCTGAATTTATTACTATATAATGTTTGATATATGTTAATAATATTCACAATTGAATGAAATACAATGAAAGGGTTTATGTAGAAAAATAGTTGGTGTGTAAAATAAATGCTTTCTTCATTAAAATCTTCCATTTGCACATATCGATGTACTCATATATATATATATATATATATATATATATATATATATATATATATATATATATATATATATATAAAGAGAAAAGAACAGACAGATTAAGAATCCACAGTTCTTAGCAGTGCTCAATTATGAAGCAAAATATTATTAGAATATTTTATTATAATATTTTACATCGCTACACAAAAATTTCCATGTTTCGAAACTTTAAGATTGTCCCTTATCAGATAACTTATGCTGAAAATGATTTACTTGGGATATCAGAAAACAATTCGATATTTGCGAATGTAGAAGTCTTTTTGGGAATCTATTATATGAGATCCAAGATATTTGAAGTCCTCAACTCTTTTGATGGATGTAATGTCTAGTGACTTCAACTCGGATGGTTCAGGGGAGGTTGTGATATATTCTGTCTTAAACTCTACCCACTATTAGTCTGATATATAGACTTGCATATCATATCTCTCATATAGGTATATAATTTGTTTTTTTATAAATTCTGTTTCACTTGGATATTTAAATTCTGACATTAGTCGAAAATTTGTTGTCGTGTTATTTTAATGAACAGTTTCACTTGCTTGCATGACACCCATTAGCTTTTATATACAAGATGTCTAAGAAGATAATGCGTGTTTTTTGTTTTGTTTTGTTTTTTGTTTATTTGCATGACGATATGAATCAAAAATGGCGTTTTAACTGTTTGAATTTTCTTGTCAAAATGTATGTGTGTCTCTTTCTAGTTTGACTACTCTTTATTTTTTTTACTGTTTACTTTATAAACGTTACAAGAACGTGTCTTCTCTTTAATGGGATTGATTGATTCATTCATTTTTTTATGGCTTATCAACCCTTTGTAAGTTATTCAAAGCCCAAACATATTTTAGATTGTAAGAATAATTCTTTCTTCCGAGTGAATATTGTATTAACAATGTTTTTTAAAAGAATAAAAATGATTTTTCCAGATGCGATATTTACTCTTTAACCCATATCTGGGGAATCAGATTGATTCATACCTTTTTCAAAAGGTATTTACGCGTAAGTGAACGTAACGAACACGACTGGAATTCGAACTCGACTGGGAAATTTATCATAGTTTATTACTGTTGTATGTAATACTGATCTTAAATTTTTGACGAATTATAACAACATAATGTAAGCGATTTAATGTAATTAAAGGTTCCTGTCGTATTACGACGAAAGTACTGTTTCCAAGTTTGGTACAGCAAATAACCTTGTCCTCTGTTGGCGGAGATTTCTTTACTGTAACATTTGCTATTGAAAGTTAGAGAGTTGTGTCCCATTAATTGTTTTTATCAGTAGAAGCCAAGATGGTGGAATCCAAAAACAATTGCAATCATGAAAATTTGGGAATCCAAAATTTCAGGATTGCTGTTCCGGAATGTTGTCCGGAATGTTTTTAATTTGCTCAAGGAGTCAGCCTGATTCCAAAATTGTACATGTTTGGCGACGGCCTCTAAGAGTAAAGTTGAAAAAGTGTGACACAGTGACACACTGACATTCGCATTTATTATATAGATAATCGGGGATTATTCGACCGAGAATTACCTCAATGATCCATACTTTCTGAAGAATGAAAAACAATCAACATGTACAACATTCCAAGCTTCACTCACGGTGAAACACATTTTAACTGAACGTAGTCACTAAACGACTGTAAGACAGAAACACTACAAGGAAAACAACATGAGAAAACTTTTTGAAAATACTGAAACTGTCAACATAATGTCCGACCTTAAAGAAATAGGTTTATTCCAAAACATGTAACACCTACAATAGATAATCTACAAAACTATATATCTATAAAACATAAGATTGCCCTAAAATATTACATTATGTACAAAATATCTGTATTTGAAACCATAAAATTGCGTTCAAAATATATACATTTTGGCATTAAATAACCCATAGAGGTTGATACGCAGCTAAACAAAAACAACCAACCAACTATCAATCGACCGAGAATGATGTAATAAAGGCAAAAATAAGATTTTTAAGAACGAAAAAAAGATCTTAGAATGTGTAAGAAAAATACTTATAATTCAAATAATTTGATCTTATTCATTTTTAAATTTTATTTTCCAAAAGATATTGCCAATTAGGCGACCAGATTAGACAGATTTTTATTGTGACTTACCTCCCTTTTCATTGTTTTTTTTTTTTTTTTTTTTTTTTTTTCTGCAGTTTGTTCCTTGTTCTTCCCAAAGCAACTCGTCCTATATCAGATTCAAACTTTCGAACCAAGAAGAGAGCGATCAGAACACCAAGCCACTACTGGTAAGTGTTAACAGCCAACCAGGTACGACTCTAAACAAATTCTGGACAAAATATATTAATTAATTGATAATTTACAAATCAGTTGATCAGATTAATAGCCACAAATGACGCTTTATTTTCTTTATTGTTCGCTATCTCACTATCATTTTTTTAAAGGGAATAAAAATTTAAAAAAGATGCAAATGAAAATGATTCGCGGGAATTATAAAAAAAGAAACTAATATACTCGTTCCGTCAAAATTGACGGCAAGAAGGAATGTATTATAAATAATATGCATTACATTGTAATTTTCGTTTAATCCAAGTACATTTTTTCTGTATAACATTTGAGTGGGAGTGTGTAAAATAACGACGATGACCCATCCACCCAAATTCAATTTATATTTGATTTTGAAAAGAAAAAAAGAGCTATAGTTAAATAAAAATTATGAGAGACAGACATGAGTTACGGGCAACATTAATCGAATTTTACGAATTTAACTATATTTTATTTCCGTTTTAGGTTCAATTAGGAAGAAATAAATATAATTTATGTACGTATGTGAGGAACAGTGAAATGTTGTTATATGTTTCTTTTTTCTTTTCAAAAACAAATATAACTTGAATTTGAGCGGATGGGTCATCGTTTGTGTAAAAGAGTCAGTACGTGTGTACGGGTTTTTACTAGTAACGGGAGATAATTAGATAGTTGTTTAGTTTAGAATTTAGTTGTTACTGTGAACAGTGTTGCCGTTGTTCGGGACGGTCTGTAGTTTTCAGCGCGGTAGCTTTTTGCGTGTGGATATGAATGGGGGGGCTTGATTTCTGTGCATCTCATGTCAAAATTTTGCACACTGCCCCTCAATTGTTAACCGCACAAAAAAATTTATATATAAAAATTTATATAAAAAATTTATTTTTGGTCTATTACTGTAACCCGTAAAAGACCAAAAATAAAACAACAGGATTTTCCCAACCATGTAACAACAAAAGGAACTTATGCTTTAATCACATTAGACATACCAATTTGTTCACTAGCTCAGTCACTAAATCTACTTTGAAAATCTACCACAACTCTAACTGTAGAAGTCATAACAAAATTTACCTATTAGAATGCAGACTATGCCAGAAACAATATGTGGGAAAATCTGAATGGCTCTTTCACTACAGAATTAATAATTATCGGAATCGGATCAAGTCGGCTCCCTACGAAATATTATTTCCAGTAGAACATTTCCGCTTAGAAAAAAAACATGATTTTAAAAGCCATGCTAAATTCAATATAACTGAAAATAGAAAATAGAAATAGACAGAAAAGATAATGTTAGAAAAATATGAGAAGAGCATGAAGACAAATGAATTTTGCGCCTCAAAACACTTCGTCCAGACGAGCTTAACCACAAATTTAACAAGATAGATAGAATTAATATATAATCCCATAAATCCAGCCCTACCCACATTTGTCACCCACACAAGACAGACATGCTTGCAGAGGTGTTGACGTTTCACACTTATATACACACTCATACCAATATATAGACTTACACACATTCCCAAATAATTAAAATATAGCATAAAATTAACACACACATCCCCCTCCCAGCAACCAACAAAACTGACCGTATGACCAAAAAGGGAATTCTGCTACTTACGAATCTCCCCAGCCTCGTTTTTTTTTTTAAAAAAACTTAAGAGTCCGTTTGACCAACACAAGGACCGACCAAAATTAAGGATAAAAAACAAATGAAAACTACAGATAAAGTTCATTTTCTTCATAAACAGTCATTCACTCCTGTAGTTCACTGCTACTAACAATTTTTTTTTTCACCTGATGATGGCCATGCTGGTCGAAACTATCGAGGAACATAACTGAAATAATAAAACAAAAAATATTAATATAAAACCCATTGTGTCTGAAATTTTTAATTTTTTAATATTTTTATTGTCCAAACACACACACACACACACAGAGAGAGAGAGAGACACACACACACATATATATATATATATATATATATATATATATATATATATATATATATATATATATATATATATATGTATATGTGTGTGTGTGTGTGTGTGTGTGTGTGTGGTGTATTATATTTAAGGATATCCAATACAATTTTTTGTTGTTTTTTTTTTATTTATTTCTTTATTTATTTTTTTCATTTTAAACCAATCCTTTGTGGACATAGACGATCCTTGCTCTCCAAAGATTTCGTTTCTTTCTTTCTTTATCTGTGAATTGCCATAACTTCGTGGGAAAGATGGTGGAGTGATTTCTCCCTGCCTTCTCTGCGGTTTTGAATTCAAAGTACTCTTTATCTTAGACTGACTGCCACCAAGTTTCGTTATTTAACCCATACCTGGGGGAAGGGAGAAAGAGTTGAGATAATAATCTTCACAAGGGCATCTATGCGAAAGTGAACGCAAAAGGCTAGACTGGAATTTGAACTTGGGCGATTCCGCATTCCGATAAGCTTTACGCTATTAGCACATACAATGTATAAACTCATTGAAAACTAGACCATCCGTAAACCGTGGGTCTGTCACTATATGGAGGTTATAAAGAATTCAAGATACTTTCAGTGTTACATAGAAATAAATGCTTATTTTGATAGAATTTAATTATTTTAATCTATTCAGGTTATTCCTAATATATGATATTGTATGTAAGGTTTATAGGTATTACCCCCACTTGGTCTGCCAAGATACCGTTAGGTGGCACTAATTCAGGAATATAAAATCTTGATTGCTATATTCCTCTTTCACTTTCCTCCTTTCAATCAAGCATACGGTAGCACGCTCTTCGTACCCACTGGGGATAATATCTTTACTCCAAGCGACTAGTCTTTCTCACACGCACACAGACACAATCACTTACAAGCACTCACGTCCACATATATTCTTATTTACTGTTTCTCAAAATTATAATTTTTGTGAAAATATATTGTTTTTATTTTCAACAATGAAAGTTTCTTTTAATTGTTCGTCATTTGGATGTGAATATTCTGCTTAGCAAGCGAAACAAGTTTTTAAAATGATGGAAAAATTTATTTTCTTTTTTTTAACTTTTATTTTCATAATAAATTTGATTGTTGATCAAAATTAATATGGATAAATTAGTATGGATAAATTATAAAATTAAATAAATGTTTGTTTTTTTTTTTTAAGCATTTCACCCCAAACAAGGCGGGAAGCCACTAGGACGCAAGGGGTTACAGAAAGTTTAGAGCAAGATCAGATAGGAGTGATAGAGGAAAGGATGAGGGTAGTGGATAGATCAAGGCAACTGGAGATGTCGATTGACATTACACTTGAATAGCAGAGATTATAGCTCACAAGGAAACAGGAAAAGGGAAGGGAGTTCCACAGGCGAGAGGTGCGAGACATGAAGCTATTAGAGTAGAAGAGACGGCTACATTTAGGAGTTTCGACAGTGAAGGGTGTTACAAATAACAGACTTTAATTTTTTATTATAATAGATGTAATAAAAAAATAGATGTATTAAAAAATATTGAAAGTATACTCTGATAAAATTTAAGTCACAACGGTCGATGACTTTTAGTGCAACATAAAATAAATATGTAAAAATATGACTAGTAGTCATAGCAGCAAATGATGTACAATATTGCGGGACTTAACTGTTTTTAAGTAATCAAAGAAATGTTTTCTATCATTGCAGTGTGAGCATTTAAACAATGACGTCATCGTAAGTGAATAATAAAAAAAAACAATCACGCTTGACATTTTCTATTATGTAAAACACAGAGAAAAGACACTAAAACTACTATTGTAGTCGTTCTTTATTTCTTTGTTTTTCTCGTTTCATTCACACATCAATCATCCATCTCAAGAAAAATATTCACGTGAATTATGGGTTCTTCAGCTTGATTGGTTGGGGAAGACTGTTTGGAACTACTTAAATTTATTGGTCCGCTCGTAAAAGACTAGAAAAAAAAGGAATCTTTTGAATAATGTTTGTAGATTAGCATTTATTAAATCTTCTTCAAGTGACAACATTTTTTCCAGACTCAAAAAATATTGGCACCTGTTTTTAATATAGATATAGTCTCAAATTGATCCCTGACCTCATAAAGAGTTATTTGTACTTCGTTATTATTTACAATAGTCAACTGATTGATTGTTCTGTTTTATAACCCTGTAGGTTATTTAATGTGGAAAAGATTTATTTTTTATTAAATATATGGCTTGTAAACAATCCTTTGAGTCGTTGGTTCCATCACTCGAAAGTTGTGGCTTTAGGACGGAGTTATTTAGCGAATGTTGGACGATTTCCTTAAAGATGCAAAAGAGACTCGAGGCGACGGAGATGTGGGTCTACAGAAGGATGCTAAGGATATCATGGACCGAGCGTGTGAGCAACGATGATATCAGAGAAAGATGCAAACAAGGAGGAAGCTTCTACTTAACATCAGGAAGAGGCAGCTGAAGTTTGTGGAACATATAATGAGGAAGGAGGGCCTGGAGAATCTGATAGAGGGAAAGAAAGACAAAGGAAAACAACGCATGACATACCAACCGGGCTTGAGCAAGTGGATGACAGAACGTGGTCTCGTGGGTGGGGAAGCAGAGGGAAGGAACTTGCTGAGAGCTGCAAGGGATAGATGGAGGTGGAGAACCATGATCACCTACGCCCTGAAAGGGCATGGCACATAAAAAGAAAAAGAATTTATTTAGGGGTATAATTTGTAAGACAACATTCTTCAAGTAGGCTAGTCTCTCCTTTTATCTTTTTGAAGAGGCCCTTTAGACTAGTCATGGAATAAAATTGTTGACAAGGTCACTACAATCGGTTACAATGTTTTACACTACGCTATACAGGATGCGATGGATAAATTGTCGTCTAAATTACACAGAAATGAAAATAACACTGACATTTCATTTTAACATATATATTTACAAAAATTACACAAAAATATCTTAAAATAGTAAAGAGTAAATTTATTCAATAAAATCGCCATGGGCTTCAAACACAGACTCCAGACGACTTCGGAATCTCCTGCAACTCTTCTGGACGGTCTCCTTGTTTAAGTTGGTGAAGGCTGCCATAATCCTTACCTTCAGTTCATCGTTTGAGTTTTGTTGGTCTCTCGCTCAACTGCGCTCCACACATAATAATCAAGGGAGATGCAGTCTGGGATGTTAGGTGGCTACATGTAAGGGGTGATGTGGTCGCAGAAATTATCTGACTGGGTTCTCCTGCTTATGTGATATGGTGTAGAGTTCTGTTGCCAAGCATAGAGTTTTCCAGCATCCACCTTCTTGACCCAGGGCAATACTACTTCCTCAAGGCACTTAATGTAGACCGCCGTTTTGAGTCTGGGACCCTTACCAACAAATTCGGGAGTTCTTTTCTTATCAGAACGATCAGAGTGAGTTTTCCGAGCTGCCGTACCTTCGTAATCACCATTAGACTCATCCAACTCTTTCCGAATCGTCTGCACTGTCCTCAGATTGGAACCAAGACACTCTGAAATGTTCTTATTGGAGTTTCACTCGCAAATGTCAAGCAGTACAGCATGCCATTTCCAAATTTCTGGTGTAATGAATTGCGCCGTGGCGAACATCTTCTCACAGATGATGCCCAACTGCCCCTATTATACTGTACTGTCGCCAAAATCAAAAATAAACAGCGCGCATGCGCGACACTAAAAATATAAAATGGCGATAATTTACCCATCTCACTCTGTATGCCTCCTGAGAAATACAGTTGTCAAGTTTGAAACTGTGCTTAACGTCATTAATTACTGTGTTCTGTTACGAATTTGGGGAAAAGACGATATTAGTGTAATAATGCTAACCTATAAAAATTGTTCCCGAAACATTTTTCCTTGTCTTTTTTTTATGAGTGGGCCAATTAATTTAAGTAATGCTGGCTGTTCAATTACATCCCAAAATCAAGTGGCACTTCAACGTTATGTAGTTTCAAGGACCTACACAAATGAGGAAATTTCATTATGGAAGATATTAATTTCATTATTATTTTCCGCCTAGAAAGCAAAATGACGTTGCTGCAACGGTTCTGCGACGTTACATAGAGACATCAAAAATGTTCATTTGTAGACTCCTCTCAACGTACCCAAAACGTTACCTTTATAAAGTTGCCGATACGTTACTTGTAAAGTAGCATTAACAAGAAATGGATAATAAATTTCAGGGAAGAAAAGCTATGCTGATGTCATTTGACCAGTGAGTAATTGTTCAGTTATGGCACTTTGCAACGTTATGACAACGTGGGGGGGGGTCAGTTTCGGTTTGTCATGAAAATAGTTGACTGCAGCGTTAGACCAACGTTGCAAGAACGTTTCGTGTTATCTCATCGTATGTCGTATTTTGCATGTGCGAATGTTGAAAATATAAATAACGTAATGCCGATATTTTTTTTATTGTCTTTGCAGGAGATGAATCCCACGATAACGCAACCTCAGTCAATGATGCGGGAAACTCGTTTCCATGGGGACCTGGACACCAGCAATGGTGGTATTCTGTCGCCCAGATTCAGTCGGTTACGGAGTTTACAGAGTCGCCTATCGTCGCCAACACACTCGTCCAGTGACGACTTCGAGAGACAGTTCAAACGGGTATTGACAAAAGTCTACCAAACCATCGAGAGAAACGAGATCCGATTGGCTGAACAGGACCGGCGTGACGTCATCAAATTAGAATGGCAGCAAGTGGCGCAAATGGTGGACCGATTGTTCCTCACTGTCTTCGTCTGCGTCACGATTATTATCACCTGCATAGTCATGTTTAAAGCTCCCCACTCTACTGAGAGCCTTATCAGTTGATGTGTACATTTTTAACAGCACCTTCAGTTTCAACATTCAAAACTTATGCAATAGATTGAAAGACGAAAGAAATAAAGGAGAGAAGAGACAAGGGAGGTAAGAAGGAAGGAAAACGTTGATGGAATGATGAAAGCTTAATAACTTACGAAGAGGTGAAAATGAAAGAATCAAGACCGAAGGGAACTTTAAAAAAAAAAAAAAAAAAAAAAAAAAAACTTTGCAAAAAGAGACAAGATACTGAAAAAAAAATTGAATGAATTAAGCGAAAGACAAGAGTCAGATTTCAAAGATGATATCACGAGTATGTGAATGATAATGAAAAGATAGAAGTACTAAAACTATTGATGTTGATAGATTTTCCCGATAAAACTGATAGTGATGATGATAATATTATTGCTGGTGATGACGATGATGCATTAAAGTTTGATTCTGTCGATAAATTCTGTTTTCACAAACAGTAAACGAGCTACCAAGGGTAGAAAAATATTTAAGGAAAACGCATTTAAAATATTTGGACATCGGTTTGTTTTTTTCCTCTTTTTTTATTTGTTACTCGATTCAAAAATGAGATAGACAATGTGACAAATTAAGTTTTGCTGATCGTGGAAAACAGGCAACTGACCAAAGTTTCAATAGGAAGGAACTTGAATTTTTTTTTTTTTTTTTAATATTTTCTGCGTTCTTTCCTTCCATCAGCTTAAATTAGAACTATAAATTAATCTCCGTAAATCTTTCTTAAAGAAATACCATCATAATTGTTTTCGCTTCGTCTTGGGGTTTGTTTTTTTTTGTTTTTTTTTATCATGATTTCACCTTCAAGAACTTCCAGCCGCAACTGCATCAATAACCTCCGAAAAACAAATTCTCAGAATTCGGATTTCTCTAATTCTTTAAACTATTCAAAAATGATCAAACTTTTTTTTCTTTTATCTTTTTTTTTTTTTTTTTCTGGCAGACGACAATATTTTTACTTGGGTTAAGAATTCGATAGGCTGGTGAGGGGAACGCCTGTTTGGTCAGTGTAATAAAATCTAACTTCTTGGAAAGAGAAAAATGTATTTCTTTCCGAAATTTTCAAAAATTTTCTTACCCTTTCCCCACAAAAAAATTAAAAAAATAAATAAAATGATACGAAACAACAATTAGCTTTAAAGAAAGAAAGAAAGAAAGAAAGAAAGAAAGAAAGAAAGGAAGAAAGAAAGAAAGAAAGAACGAAAGAAAGAAAGAAAGGAACAAACAAAAGAAAGAAAAAAAGAAAGAATGAAAAATGAAAGAAAAAACAAAGAAAGAAAAGAAAGCAAACGAAAGAAAGAAAAAGTAAAAAAGAAAGAAAGAAAGAAAGAATGGTAAACGCAAATATTTTTCAGCATTACTTGATAACGAAAGGGTAAGCGGGAAGGTGAAAAGATACACAAAAAATAATCAGTTTTTAAAATTAAAAACATCTTCATAGAATTTTAAACTCTTCAAAGTTCTACTACTTCTGTCCCATAATAGTTGCTACATTTAACGCATAAAATGTACACGCTAATGTAACAATTATTATGGGATAAAAGTAGTGCAACTTTCAAAGTGAAAAAAATGCTATTATATATGTTCATTAAGTAAAGACTATTAGCAAGTTAATGTGCATTTAAAATACATCTCTCTCTCTCTCCCTCTCTCTTTCTCTCTTCATAAGAATGTGTAATCTCAAAGTAGAAATTTTCTCACCCAAAAAAACAAAAAAACACAAGAGATTAACACAACCTAAAGAAAAACAGACAACCGTTTAAGATTGTACTTGAAGCTTATTTCAATACAATTTGATGACTGCCCATGAGTGAGGTTCGACCATTTCTTTTATAGTCGAGTATTTCGAGGGGGAGACAACTATGATCGTCTTCCGGCACACACATAAAGAGATTATAAATTTCAATAAAATTAAGTAAGCAAAACTTATTAATTTATCACTAATAATGATAATTATATTAATTAAGGCCAGTCAATGATTCTGTGTTTTCTTGCTGTTCTGCATAATTTAAACTCCAAAAAGAGAATTTCTTTTTAATTATTATAGTAATTTAGCTAAATTATGCACTGCTACAATAAACAAAGTATTTGAAAGGAGATTTTGATTCTAATACACAAGACATTGTTTAATATTTAGCATTTAATACGCGCACCTGTATGAATGAATAGTGACATGTGTAAGGATTTTGTGCGGTACTTACATTTCATGTATACGCGAATGACTTTTTATTAATTATTTTGATCGTCTCAGTTTTATCTTTTAATTAAAAGAGAAAGACAAACTGTTAACGTAGTTTATAAACCATGTTCAAATATTCAATAAACTCCACCCCTAGCACACACTCTCTTCTCCCCCCATCATCTCTCTCTCTCTCTCTCTCTCTCTGAATTCAATGATTCGGTAACCTACACATTAGATACTCTACTTAGCTACTTCTCTCTCTCTCTTCCTCACGCAATGACAGAAAGGATGTACACGTTACACCCTCTTTCTTCCTTTTCTCTCTCCCTCCTCTCTCTCTCTCTCTCTTCTCTCAGTTACAGTCAATGATTCGCTAATCTACACATTACTCGCTATTCCTATTCCATTCTCTATTTCTCCCTCTCTCTCTCTCTCTCTCTCTCTCTCTCTCTTTCTCTTCTCACTCATTGGCAGTTAATGATTCACGAATTACATTACTCAATCTTCCTACTTCCATACACACTCTTTCTTTCTTTCTGTCTGTCTTTCTCTTTCTCTCTCTCTCACACACACATACATACATACATACATACATACATACATACATACATACATACATACATACTCTTATATTTATACTTAGTTTCTAATGTTTTTTCTTTAATAAAAAAAAACAACAAAAATTGCAAAAATATTCTATCTCCCAGAATACCTTGTGATTTTGGAGAAAATGATGTCCGAAAAAATTTGAAATTACCCGACAGAAAGAAGTGCTAATCGTTATTGGTCAACATTAAAATGATAAATCAGAATTTGGTCGAATATAGGATGTGTGCAAAAGTCTCTAGTCTTTGTTGATGGATTGATTTATTTGAAAGCTAAAGACACGGTTGTAAATTGGATTTTCACTGTATACTTTTGCACACATCGATGAATATACCATTTCAAATCATTTTTCCCATAAAAATCTGGATTCAGATTGAAATTATTGAAATTATTATCCCCACAAGACTCTAATCACTATAGTTACATTTTTTCTAGTTTTTTTTTTTTTTTTTTTTTTTCATAATTCCTTGTTTTTTTTATTTCAATTATCGTTCTTCTCCCACCCTTAAGTTAACCTCATAAATTTGGCGATTTAAAAAAGCTTTCGACGTAATTTTAGCCTTTATGCTTAGGAGCTTGTCATACCGTAACAGCACTGTTACCGATTTGTCAGCGTGAAAACGGCTTCCAAATATAAGCGATGCTGGTTCAAATCTTGCTGGAGACTTAATCTTTATATCTGACCTATACTGCTTGTTTAACAATCACACAATAAGTGTCTGAGAATTGCGATTAAAAAAAAAGCAACAGCTGAAATTAAGATTAATAAAAATAAGATTATTAAATCAATAATAGCCAGAAGGCATCATTCGGAGATTTTTGTAAATTGCTACATGAAAAAAACGTGATTGGTAACATGGAATATTCTCAATTACTAACTTTGTGCTGCTGCTGCTGCTATCATCATCATTATTATTATTATTATTATTATTATTGCTACTATGACTACGACTACAACAATTATGATAACATTTTCTTTTTATTTCTTTAAGGCATGTGCTACCAAGGATACCTTCGATGCGTCTATCGGAACCTTTTCCAATCAAACCCAGAACCCCAATAGGAATTATTGACGTCCCCATATGCCACATTTTTTTGATTTCCACTTCAAGATCCTTTTTTTTTATAGTTTTTTTGAAAATCTTCAAAGATACATTACAGTCTGTAGGAAAGCAGATTCTGTTTTTGTGGTCTTTGATCATGACATCCGGGCGATTAGCTTTCATTGTTCAATCTGTGTGTATTGTAAAGTCCCATAAAATCGTTACAGGTCCTGTCTCTGTAACTGGATCTGGATGGTGTTGGTACCAATTTCTTATAGTTTTTTTTTTTCTTACCGTAAAATCTGCAGATTTTCCAGTGCAGATATTGGCCCACTCTATCATGCCGAGTTTTATATTCGGTGGAAACTAATACCTTGTAACCTGATACAAGATGATCAATTGTTTCTGAATATTCATCACAAAATTTGAATTTGGGGTCAACACAATTATTATTATTATTATTATTATAATTCCTTACTATTCAATATAATCACTTAGCAGCTATTATTAATTATAGAACACTTCAAGTTATGTGTGCGTACGTGAATGTGTGTGCGTGTTCACATACAACTATAAAAAGATCCACCCAACGAAAACGATCGATTCACACACGTACGTGTATTCAGATCCTCGTATGCAACCATTTATAGACAGGTATATCATTCTATAGACCATGCCATATATTCTAATATGCTTCGTTTGTTCGTTCTGAACGCTTTTTATTTTGCATGTTCAACTTGTCCAGGAAAATAGTGACATGAACCAGACCTATGCGTGTAAGCAGTGCTTATATTGATATAAATTTCAAACATTTCAATTAATATATATGTGTGTGTGTGTGTATGTGTGAAATGTGGATGTATATAAATATACATACATACATTACATACATATATATATATATATATATATATATATATATATATATATAAATATATAAATGCAATTTATTATATATAGTATTTATATATTATATATATGCGGTACTTATTGGAAAACGTTCATTATTAGTGATAGAGCTAACACATTTTAGTTGGATTGATGTGAGTTTGTGATCCTGGGAGTTCACACTTTTACGATCGTCAGACAAACTCTCTCCTGAGTTTGTCTGACGAAATGGGTGAAACCCAGGTCACAAACTCACATCAATCCGACTA